GCGCTACGGAAGAGCAGATTGCGAGCGAGAGGTGCCTGTCATCTTCCCTTCACAAGCTTCACATATGTATTTATCGTGTGATTTTGGAAATAAAAGTTTCATATTCTGAAAGCCAAGACTTTGTTTATTTAAAATCAAACCAAACACCCGAACCCCGAAAAAATAGTTTTTTACGCAAATCCACGTTTATTTTTAAATGAGCCGTTGCGACATCCGACTGATTTTGATAGAGCGGGTCACATATCATTCATATATAGCAAACCATGATTTGATTTCTCATCAAACAGTAGTAGTTTATTACAGGTAAAAATAACTTACTCTTCTATAACAAAAGTTGTAGGTACAGTTCGGTTAGTTAGCGTATAAAATATACGGCTGTACCGAGGCCCTTATAAGACTGTTGTTCCGCTGAGAGCGAGCCGAAAAAAGCAGTTAGACATGGGCGGAGCCTCTCTGGTGGTTGACTAATCAGAACAGAGTGGGGGGGCAAGAGCTCCAATGAGCCGTTTAGTGGAGAGAGTGAATACTGCTGAATACACATACTTTACAGAGATGCTGTATGCGAAACCAATGTGAGTTTGGAAAATTGCACAGTATAAATCTATTTTAGTAGACCTCAACAATGGAATTATGATCAGTGGAAATGGCCATGATATGGGCCCTTTAAAACAAAGAAGGTATCTACCACGACTGTTTAAATAGGTAAACGTTTTTCGGGCTGCTAAGTTGGGATCACGGAGAAATGCTCTCCTCCTCCTTTTTCTTACTCAATATCAAGCCACACTTATTGTTTTTACTTCGGCTGTGAGTGTTTGTGTGTGCTCAGGATGAGTTTCGCTTGTTCTCGCTGTATCGCCGACCCGGAAGCCTGTCCGCTCCTCGCAGCAGATCGCAGCAACGAGCCTCGCAACGTCCCGACCAATCAGAGCACACTGGGCTCACCTGGAGGGGGGCGCAGGAGCTCCAACAAGCCGTTTAGGACAGAGAGTGAATACCGGTGAATACACATACTTTACAGAGATGCTGTATGAGAAACCAATGTGAGTTTGGAAAATTGCTCAGTATAAATCTATTTTAGTATTACAACAATGGAATTATGATCAGTAGAAATGGCCATGACATGGGCCCTTTAAGTGATTACATCAGGGGTGTCCAAACTACGGCCCGGGGGCCAAATGCAGCCCGCTAACCATTTTGAATCGGCCCTCAGCAAATTCAAAAAGTATAATGGAATATGGCCAACAAATAAAACTTGTGCTTGTCTTATAATGTACTTCTTAAATATAAATGTAAAAATATATTACACAGTAGTATTTATGTAATTATAATTGTATTCATAAGACCACTTTTCAAATAAATTCAGTCAATTAAAGTTGGAAAGGTTTTCTAACATATCTTAGTTGATAAGAAAATGACTTATTTACATAACAAGCTTGAAATACACCCTTCCTATTTCTCCTGAGGCTTCTGTTTTATGGGATGAGCTGCCAACACACATAAGCATAATTTACCTACATTTGATTGAATTTTTTGAATGCCCCACGTTGAAAAAAGTTTGGACACCCCTGGATTACATAAACTGAGTGAAAACCTATACCTGTTTTATGTCAATTAATTGTGTGTTCCCTGTCAGAAATGGCCGCACCAATACAGCTGATTATCCAGAATTGTTCATACAATATCATCTAATTTTGTGTTGTATATTTTCTAAACTCATGTTTTTGTACAAGTAACTAATGTTTGAGGAAAAACAGGAAATGTTATGGATTATCTTGACTACAAACACACAGATTAAACATATTGCGCATTTTCTTAAAGAGTACTTTGTGTCATAGTTTAAGCACAATATTTATTTTGAAACCATTTATTTTTAACAGTGGCAAACATTTTTTTTTAAATTAAACATAGTTAAACATTTTTGCTAGAACCGAATTTAAATTATCATATACATCTGACAAAACATTTTGAGTGTGGCAGTATGAATATTAAAATAAAACGTTCCATGCTTCATTTAAAAACACTTATTAAACCCAGCATCACTAAACACACCTTGACTGACACTGCTCAGGGTAGCAAGTGGCATAACTCTTTGGCCACTATGTGTACACATACACAACGTTTGAGCTGCATTACTGTTAGTTATACTTAACAATAATGAACAAATATGTACAACAACACATCTCATTCATCTATATCAGGGGCGTCAAACTCAAGGCCCGGGGGCCAAATCCGGCGCAGTGACTTCATTTTATGTGGCCCACAAGAGCTTGCAAAGAATATAATATGTTTATTATACGGTTACATAACGATTTACAGAAGCACGTTGCCCATAAACTACATGTCCCACAATGCATCTCAAATTTGACTTTTTTCTCAGAATTTGACTTTTCAAAATGTCACTTTTTCTCGAGAATTTGGATTTTCTTTTAAAATCATTTTGTGACATTCTCACTGAAGAGACTTGCAATTATTTGCCCTAGACTTCTGCTTTCAGACGTAGTTAATTATGAAGTTATTACCCTATCCGATAATAATCCAATGCAATAATGTAATATATAATACATTATTTTATATATATTAAATATTTATATATGTATTTTTATATAGTCTTATATATAAAACTGGCCCTTTGAGTGCAACCATGATGCTAATGTGGCCCGAGATGAAATTGAGTTTGACACCGCTGATCTACATGGTGGCTAGCTTACTTAGTTTATTGTAACTGTTGGCTTAGAATTGGTTATAAATTGCAGCTGTTGTCTTTCATGCATTGAATGTTTTGTCAACTTTGTCTTTTACAAAATAATGAACACATAAGAACAACATCATATCCCATACATTTTGGTTTTTGCCACACAGTCAAATCCACATTGGGGCTATAGCAGTTTACGTAGTTAATTGTATTTGTTGGCTTAGTATGTTAGTAGAATTGGTTAGAAATGAGTCATTAATACATTTACAGTAAAGCAGTTTTGTCAACTTTGTCCTTACAGTCATATTTGTTATGTTATTAAGAACACATCACTTTCATCCTAACTTGTATTTTGAGCAATCAAATTGTCCTTAAAGTGTTACAAAAGCCTTTCTCCACTGGGTGGCAGTATGTGCATTTGTACTGTTTCACCAGGAACTGTATCTGTGTGAGGTTTAATGTAGTTTGACTCATCTCATATTCAGTCATCTGATCTGACAGAGGCAATGATGTGAAGCCCTTGATCTCAAATATAAGTACTGATGGAAAATGATATAACAACTCAGACAGCTCGGTTCTAGAGATAGCTGAGAAAAAGAAATCAGAGAGCAAGCAGGAGGCTTTAGTTAAATTACAAGGCAGATCAAAGGGTGAGGAAAAAAAGGTGAGAGAATATGTCTGAGCACATTTGCAGCCATGTAGGGGGTGTTGGATTGAAAACAGCCTCTAAGTATTTCAGCTGAACTTCCGCACTCTCCCTTTCAATATTTTACACTTTATTGTGGAAACCTGCATTCTTTCTTTGTGTTATCCAAATTAAAATACATTGGACCTGCTGTCAAAGAGAGAAAGCTAATGTTCTTCACAGTATAACATTTATTTGAAATAGTACAGCAGCCCAATTCTTTTTCTCTCACACTAAAATGGATTCAACATTTTATGGGAAAGATCATAACCCTATATTTATAACATCTCTGAAAATGATATAAATTAAAAGGGTTCATAAGATATTAAGTTCACAAATCTGGTAGCATGGTACCGTATAAGGCACGGTGCAGCCTAAAGGAAAAGGCACTTCAGGGTGTATTGAGCTGAGGAGATTTTATTGACAAGTGTTTTGCCCTGTTGAGCTGATATTTCAAATATGGAGACCGTGTAATGGTTGTGAAGCAGTCAGTCATAAAAGCGCTGTGAACCAAAGGGCAAGCTGAAAGCCAAAAGGCTGAGAATAAACTTGGGTGCATTTGTGCAGCTGTGTGTGCTGTGAGCAAGGGAGAAGGTGAAAAGCTTCAGACACAATCAATAGTTGGGAATAATAATGTGTCTCCTGTATGTGTGCACAGAAGCAGATGCTGAGGGAAGGGGACTGCAGAGATGACTTATAATTCCAGTGAAATTGAATAATATAATTGTCCCTCCATAGGGAAAAAAATGTGCCTATCACTGAGTAGAAATATATTAAGTATGAGATTGATTTTAAAAACAATTTGAGAGCTGGGATTGTTAAATGTATTCAGACACACTCTGAATTCCCATGTTGTGACATCAAACAGCCTCTGCTGTAAAGAAGGTCGACCTACAAGGACAGATCCTGTGTATTTTAGCAGTGTTAAGAGGCAGATAGGGTGGCACTTGATTTATTTTGACATACTTTAATATTCATAATCTTCATTAAACATTGCTGCCCTGACCCGACTGCATTTTAAGTTTTTCTCAAGGCATTTTTCATTCCCATAATTTGTAACCTCATGACAGACATGGAAACATTGCAGCTCCACACTAGAACCACAAAGTATTTAGCTGGTGTTCACATACTGGAAGCACTTTGTACACAGCAGCTCTGTATGTGAAGCGTGGCATCTTAGTCTCCCATAGGATCATGGTCAAGTACATCTTGTTAAAACCATCCTGAGGGGGGTGACCGTTCCATTGTCTATACACCAAAACAAGACAAAGCAATTAGTGTGCTCTCAACATGTGGCTGTTTTTTTCCGATGTGGCAATGCTCGACAACAGCTGTCATCTCTGACATCATCACTGGAGTGCATTGGCCCTTTTTAGGTGGCAGTGTGCCCCAGTGCATTCTGGGAAATGATTTGGTCAGAGGGTATGGACAATTTCAAGAAGACCAAACACATACTTAAGAAAGGTAAATACAATATATTTGAATGTTGTGTGAGTTAAGGGGTTTGAGAACACAATGTAAACCATTTTAAGACCGTCCAGATGTAAATCTAAAGCAAAATATATTTTTCTACATTTCTTATCTATCACAGACACCCACCATTAAAGACACAGGACACAGGCATGTTGAAAATCTTACAATGTATATAATTGACACAAGATTTCAGATACAACAGCAAATGAGACATTTGTATTTTTTAACCTCTTTCTGGCATCTATCTTCACCATAAGCACACATTCTCCATAGATTTCTGATAACAACAAAACCAAAGTACATATAAACAAGAATTAAAAGTACTTTTTTTCATCATAAATTGGCACCTTTAAGAAATCCCTCTCGTATTCAACTCAGTGTAAAATAAAGCTGTCTTTAAATGGTGGCATATCCAGCTTTGCATTTTTCCCACTTAATGAATGAGGGCAGGATTAAGGTGCACAAGCTGATTTGAGATCAGCACTAAGGACCTTTCTCCTGCTTCCTCTCACACACAGGGGCTTTGGTTTTACACTGGTTCATTATAGTTGAACAGGAGATGTCTTGCTGGGCCATGTCTATCTGCATACACACATCCTCAATCAATAGTCGTTTCTGGAAGGTGTTGACTTGCGTATTGATCGACCATCTTGTGATGTCTTTGTGCAGACAATGCCATTTATTGGCCTCATAAAAGTGCAGGTTTTATAAAAGGGAGGGGGACTTTGAGCAACAAATTAATGAGATCAAAAGGTCGAAGAGGAGAGAGGGAGGGGTTGTGCAAATTTCAGCCGATGACATTGTGAGGCAGTCATTGAAACTGAAGTTGTGAGTCGCAAGTCGTCTTTGAATTGGAATGTCACCATCACAGTTGGAGTCATTTCTCATTCTTTACAGGGTTTCATGTGGACTTCATTTTTCTCAAGGGTCACAACAAGAAGTACCATGTGGTGATATTACTAATTGTTCTTTGTTCAAAATGTATATTTTTCCCCCACTGGATCATCCAATACTATTGTACCTCTCTTTTTGAGTCAAAATAGGGACCCCAACACTAGACAAAGTGTCAATGGCAGTCACAGGCAGATTTATTTAACCAGGGACACACAGGAAGGACACACAGGCATACACACAGCAAACATTGCATTCATTAACTAAGCATATCTAAAATGTAAATATGATCAAAGTGACATATCAGACAACAGTTATGACAACAGCCTCACCCAATTCCAGAGCAGTAATAAACCAAGTATCTAACAGATGTGCTTCTTAAATCTTGACTGATCTCCCAACAACTTAATTAAATCTGCAGTATTAACCAATTTGTTATCTTTTTTATTCATGAAATATCATGGTGGATTGTTCCAGTGTACAAATGAAGCCATGATGTAATTTAAAATATAAGTTTCTTTCCTACAAGATAACTGTATCTTTCACACTGACAAGCGTGATATCTGACAAGCAAAGATATCATTAATCCAGATTGTTTGAACATCCCATTATTTAAGAAATTAGCTATTTCAATATCCCGTATCTGTCAGTTTAAATGCACTATTCAGTGACGTGAATCCAATAAATGTCAATACATTTGATTTCTGTGCCATCCAAACAAGATTTATAAAGGCTCTATCGTCTGTCCCTCTTTTGCTTTATCAATGAAAAAGAAGTGCACACATCCACACACATACACACATGCAACTATCATCCCATCATCCTGCACACAGCGTTCTTAAATGAGAGCTTTGACATTTCTTTGAATTAAAATGTGGTATGTTTTTCCTCCCCAGCAAGCTTCTCATCAGGAAAAGTTGCACACTGTGTGTTCCCACAACATTCCTAGTAAGTGTGACACGTAATGAAGCACTGTGTCATTGTCTTATTGCCTTGCCACCATGTAGAAGCATGAGGAACGCTTTAAAGGTCATTATAACCGATGAGCAGGGAGAAGGGTAGAGGGAGAAGGGGGTGGGAATAAAGAGGCACTGATATAGAAAAACATTGCAAGGAAATGGAAGGCAGATATGTATAAGCTTTGACAGATGACGAATGAAATACGAATCGTAGCATACAATGATCTGGCTGTTATAAAATCTTGATACCTAATTGGCTATTTATTTCTAGAAAAAACAAAAAATAAATCAAAAATATGTACACTGTTGTGTCTGCCATACAAATAGTTGAAGGATTTAAAAGACTGTGATTATGGATTCTTGCTGAAATTAGACAAAAAAAGCAAGACATTGCGATTATGATGCTAATCAAAGGAGCACTGGGCCTTGGCAGAGAGCACACACAATTATGCATATTATATTTTTGCTCTGCAGTGCACAACAAAAGAATAGTACAAAAAAAAAAGTCTACATGACAGCAGTGTTTCTGCTTCTGTACATTTCTGCTCTGCTTCACGTTTCCCAAATCATGAACTGTCAATCATTTGCTGTGATGGCAATCTTAAACCGACTCCCCCATTCCACATACAGTACAGTGCTCTATAGTGGGAAGCTGCTGTCATCTGAGACCTGGCCCAGCACAGATTGTGTTTTGCTTACACGAGACTCTCCAGTTGATCCTACACAGCCAGCAGGGTCTGGAGAGAGAGGGAGATCTGCCCCAGCAGGGGGAATGTAGGGGTTGAGTGGATGGATGGATGGATGGTGCATGGGTCACGTTACTCCCACATTAGACGATCATGTCGTTGTGAATGTGATCACAGCTATTATTACAGCTTACATGATGAAATGGCAAAAAGTGCTGACGAGGAGTGCTCACGTCCTCGTTCTGCCAGTGTGTGTGTGTAAGTGTAATAATGATGTGAGGCTTAATGTATTACGAGGTCTGCTGGGTCGTGCTGTCCAGATTATCTCCCACTAAAAACCATCAATATTGTCAACCAATTATGTTTGTGTTCATTTGCGATAAACATTTGGGAGTGATAAATCCATTTTGGGGTCATGTGTGAGTTATTAATAAATAAATAATTCTAATGAACACAAGTGCTGTTTTGAAGGAGTGGAATAACATTTATATGTATCTGAGCGCCACTGTAAAGCCCCATTCTCCCTCTCCCTGTGGTGTCAACACCAACATACTGTTAGCAACATAGTCTTACACACATGTCTACAGATATAATTTCAGAGAAACCCAACACCAGAAACAAAACAGAAGAAGATGCGAAAAGACCAGCTCTAGTGGTGTGGTAATATAGCAAGAAATTAAAGAAGAGAGCAGAACCAAAACCATTCATGAATACTCGTAATTCCATTTTGTTCTAATTTAAAACCAAAAGGAAGTTCGTCCAAGTGATTTTTTGTGTTTAATATTTATACCTTTTTTAGTTTTGGCAAAGTAACTAACCCCCAACATCTCCTCCCTCCCCTTTCCGACTCTCCCCAACCTCCATGTCCCAAACTCAGTCCCAGTTTGTAGATTCCCCCGTCAATTATCGCCGGAGCAGCAACATGAGCAGTGAAAGAAGGTAGATGGGGATCCCGGGGAGGTTCTGGTTGGCGGAGGCTTTCACCTTCTCGTTTTCTGGAAGGTAGGGGTAGTTCACGGGCCGCTGGGTAACAGGGAAAATAAGGCGCGGGTTACGGGAGCACCCGTCATCAGCGCACACGCCACTTCCTGATCCGCTGACGTCATCACCTACAGACAGAAGGTCAGGAAATTAGCTTTATGGTACAATATGCAAACAATTTAAAAATTATTTATGATTTTCATAGAATAAACATAGTAAGACCACTGCCTTATACTCATGTATTTTAAACATACTTTGCACATACACTATTTGATCAGCTTCCATATGAATAAATAGGAGCCATGGGGAAAGCCAAGAAAAAGGATGAGGATTTCACCAGCATCTAACTGTATGTGGTACAAAATATGACTTCAATCATTTAAAAAGGCACTTTGATTTAGGCCAGGCATATTTATGCCTTCATCTTAGTTCCACATGTACTGATTTTTGCCATTTTGCTAGAGTTTATACAAGCCAAGATAGAAGATCAGATGAATAGAAACCGAGTCACTTCCCTTAATCTAGACCTAGTTAAAAAGTTTCTAATCATTAGGGAGTTTTCTGGGATGCAGTTTCTTGTGAAGTGTTCTTTGGAAACTTGTGGGCTGTGATGGTAAAACTACTCACTGGTGTCCTGAAAGTCCACATCCTGGCCGTTCAGAGCATTCTTCAGGCGGTGCGTCATGATCTTCAGCTGCATTATCTGTTGCCGTATTGTCATGTCTGGTTTCGTGATGTCGATTTCCACTTCAGGGTTGTTGATCTGGCTGGCCAAGCCATCGCCCATCACTTCGGGAAAGTACCTGGCAATCATTTTAACCACAGTTAATTAGTGAATATGTAACTTGCTGAACAGTCAGTACTGTCAATTTGTCAATGGCAGGATAAAAACACATTAAGTTCTCTTCATTTTTGAGGATTCTGTTGAGTCAGTTGCTTTAAAATATCCTTATTAGGTGATAAGCCTAACAGTGGTGGCATGTACTATTCTATTCTGTAAACATCTGGTTGAAAACCTGCTATTAGCTATCATAAGCTACTGGCCATACAAAAGAGAACATTGGTTGCTGTAAAAACAACCCAACACCAAAGAGCCAAACACTGCACTTCATGGAATTGCCACTTGAGAGTTGCTCCATCCCAATAGAGCCCCTTGCAGAAATAGGCACATTTACAGCTTGGTTAATAAATTGGTTTTGGTCTCTAAAGCTAATTCCTACTTTCATGACAACTGTATGGGACGTGAATCTTAATATAACTCACTGACCATCATTTTTTAAAGATATCAATTTTTGTTTTGCCATATCATATTTTCTTCATACAGTATGGTTCACAAGCCTTACCTGGCACGGCTCATGCCGTTCCAACATTTATCCTCGGCCCCTGTTCCTGTGGCCACTCTGTCACTGCAGAGAACACTTGGGAGAGAAACCCAGTACGGCTGCATTTCCCTCAGTCTCATGGTTACATCAGACACCTGAGGCAGAGTTGACAACAGCACATTTGTGAACTTTTATACAAAATCACAGCATTAAGGTACACTCAAACAACAGATAAATACATTCCTTCTTCCTCAATAACTAGTTTCAGTGCTCAGTCATCTGAATCATTCATCCATTCAAGCATTCAGTCCCATCTAATCACCCCATAGTTGCGTTGTGTAAAGGTGAAATGAACAACAAAAAGGGTTTGATTGCCCATGATGAGCAATGGCTCTTATGTCATAAACCATCACTGTGAATAGGCTGGATTAGGCCATCAGAAAGCAATAAAAACACCGATTTTTTCGGGTAAATACTCACCAGTTTTTCCATTTTGTTAGTGCTGGTTCCCAACCTATCCTCCACTGTAACCTTCCCATTCTTCACGATGTCGTCAGCTCCTGTGCTGCTGGTTCCTCCTTCTCTGAGGTTGCCACAGGCCTGGAACAACTGAGGCAGGAGACAGTGAAGTAAAGACAAGACGGAAATGTAGAGGGACACACAAGAGGGGAAAAAGTTAGCAAAAGGGTGAAATGAGGATATTCAACCAGTTTTGTTTTGAAAATGTTTATGAAGTTTATTCAGCTTTTAAATCACTGTAAGAACCAAAACAGAGCTACGCTTTTATCCTCTTAAAACCTTTTGAACTACTGTAGTAACATGAACTGTACGCCACCAGACTCTCTCAATAAACTTGACTTCCCTACCATGTGGTTCATATCCTGGATTTTTATTAGGGTTGGTGTTAACAAGAATGAAATGTGATGCCCCTGAAACCAGGCTTTTGAATAGAATCCAATAAACCCATACTCATACTGTATCAGCCAAGCATTTAGTTTGACAACAACTTATGTATAAATATACGAAGTACACATAAATCTATACATTTAAAAGCCAACAGCGACAAGTGGCGCTGATTATTTGCCACATCCCAAGAGTCAATCACAGGATCACTCCAGCAGATTGATTCAAAGCTCAGAAAGCACTATTCCCCTTATGGGGCTTACATTTGATAAATGGAGCCCAGGGAATAAAGTAAGACTGCAGTCAATCTGTCATCCAATCTGGCCTGCTTAGAGGAGCCTCAAGCCTTTGAACCTTCACACATAACTATAAAATAATCCTGTCTTAAGCTTCCAGTCATGTCTGTCAGCATAACTCATTGGTGTTGTGTGGTTCACAGCAGATAGAATAATGGACATAAAACATGGCATTGACTCCGTTACACTAGAGTAGTAGCAGACAGACCTGAAACACATGAAGTTATCCACGCTGCAGTTTTTTACAGCTGTATTAGATATGCTTCCATTTGTAAAGTACATAACACAACATATGGCTTTTGATGTCAACAGATTATGTAAATAGGAGATAATCTGTCCAACACTGTGACTACCATAATACTCAACATGAATGACTTCTGTGGAATAAATGCAGACTTTCCACTAGAGCTGCAGATGAAGCTGAAGTTGTGTGATGATTTCCAACTCAAACCAGGTCAGAGGCAGTCTGCTATGCTATGGCTCACCTCAAACAGCTGGACTCTTTGACAGCAAATCGGCACAGAGGAAGCTTTGTCTTCCACTCAAAATATACCATGTTTTCCCCCTTCATACAACCGAGCCAGATTTCAATTGCTGCCAGTGCAGGATCACATGAAACCATTAAACTGTAAAGTAAACACTTGGCTGCCAGGCTGTGTCATGACTCATCCTTTTATTTTAAATGCAGGAGGTGTAGCATTGAAACAGCAATAATGTGGTGGTGGGACAGGTGTTAATTTAAAAAATGAATATAGGGGCAACAGTGGAGCATAGGGGATACTAAACTGACAAGTAAGGGTATATTTTACACCAAGTTTCTTTAACTTACCACTACTTTTAGCTCTTTACCAAGTGGTTCTGAATATTATTCCTGTGTAACATGAAATATTTATGACTGAATAATCAAGAGTCAGCTAGTCTGCTTCTGCAGGACTATGTGGTTGTGCTTTGAACAGATTTGATTGACAGAAGCCTTGTTACTGGCAAACAATGACATCTGCCATATCATTTTGTTTACAACATTGCTAAATCCTGTGCGTGACATCACACCCACTGCAAAGAGCACGGACAAAACACTAATAGAAACAGAAATAAAAATGAAACTTTTTGCAGATATCTTTTGTGTGTTTATGCAGCAAATAATTTTCATTGTGACAGTATAATCCATGAAGCTACAATAGCAGGTTGCTGATGGAGGTTCCCATTTTGCTACATGTTCTGCAGTTTGCAGAAACTTGTGTTTGGCCTTTTAAAATATCATTTGAATATCCTTTGCATTCTGCTATGACTATAGCATTATGTTGGTAAAAAACACATAAACAGTTTGTATAGTTAATTCAGCTTCATGTGCATGTACCAATGTTTGCTCCTACCTTGGTGTTGATGGGCTCTATGTTATCCATCATGGTAAACATGGCTTCTGATATGCGAGTGGGGATGGAGAGGACCACGCTATCCACACCAGATGTACCATCAAAGCGACCAGCCACCTGCATCATTGTTTCTACGGAGACGGGAGGTACAGTTAGCGTGAAGAAGGGTTGAAACGTTTCATGTGTGGCACACTGGTATTCACTGCAGAAAGTAGCATCATGTGTGAAACTATGAGGAACCATATGGCTGATTGGATGCATGTGTAAATGGCTGTCTGCTCCCTACCTGCCAGATGCCTCCACTCTGTGTTGAGGTCCGCCTGGTTGGCCAGACAGCCCTTCATGACATTGCTGCAGTAGTTGGCACAAGGTCTGGCGGAGGCCATGCCGCGGCAGTGGGGACAGTACGTCATCGTCATCATGGCCCGCATGCACTCCTGGCTCAGCTGCACCTGGTAGGGCAAAGACAAAAATAAACTTACACCACCTGGATGAAAAGTTACTGTTTTATGATTTAAGCATATATGATATAATAGTCTTAAAGGTCACCTATCATGCAAAATCCACTTTTGCATGTCTTTTATACATAAACATGTGTCCCCTCTGTGTAAAGAGATTCTGAAAGTTTCAGGAAAAAAGATTTGCTCTCTTTTTGTCCTGATCCATTTATATAAAAACCTGTCTGAAAATGAGCTGATCAGATTTTGGCCACTATATGATGTCATAACGTTTTTTTGGGTTGTGTAACCATTAGCCAATAACTAACCCCCCCCCCCCACCTTATCACCTGAATCTCTTCCTAGAGCACTATTGTGTTTTTTTAAAACCAAATATCTTGCAGAAGGGCGTGGGGAGTGGCAGCTTATTTTCATCTAAAGTAAAAGACAGAGAATCAGCCCTTTTTGAAACAGGGCTGAAACAGAGGGGTTTATGGGTTACTACAATCAGGGTCGGCTCTAGAACAAATAGAATGGGGAGGCAATCATTTACCACGGGGGGGCACACACTGCCGTCAACAACCAACACACAAACACCAACGCAACTTCAATTTAAACAAACATGGTGTAAAGTCTCTTGTCTTTCACACACACTGCAGGGTGTAGTGCTATTTCATAGCGCACCTATGACTTGGGCAGACATGCACGTTGTGGCACGACCACCCAAACAGAAACACATGGACATAGGCCACCATATAACAAGTGTGCAAATGTATTTAGTATCCTATCCATGTGAACATGTTTTAGGTGGGGGGTGGACCTAACCTCTGCATGCTCCCCCGGGAACATTTTTTTTTAAATATTGAAGTTAAAAGCATCAATCTGGTGCACTTTGAGAGCAACATGGAGAGATCTATGGATACATCTCTCAACACCCATATGAAACAGAACTGTAAGCAGATTTACTTTTCTTTATGGATATTTTACTAATCACTCCCCTTTCAAACTCTATTCTTGTTTTACTGTCCTATAGTATTTCATACCTGTTTTTCATTTATTCTCTTATTTTTTAATAACTATAATGATCATATAAACGTGTTCCTCGCAAATACTTGTTTACATAAATGGTGACCAAACCGTTTGAGACCCACTGAGATAACTTGCACTAAAGTTAACTATCTAAACACTGAGAGAGTCCTTTACCTCACTGAGCTGACGTTATAAGATCCTCTCAGTCTGACAGGAGAGGACTCTCCTCCACCTTGGTGTAGAAACAGCTCTTTATATCTGTTAGCATAGATAGCTAACCAGATGCTAACAGTACCACTCGCGCACTCACAAAATGCGCTCGTGACACACACACACACACACACACCACACACACACACACACACACACACACACACACACACACACACACACACACAGCCTGAATGAAACACAGAGACCCAGAAGTACTTGTACTGTATATCATATTATTTTCGATGGCTTTACTGTATAATCAGTATAACAGATGAACAGATCGCCACTGGGCTGTCATCTAAACACACAGCCACGTAATGATAACAAAACAAAGGTCGGGGGTCATTGGTCAAGCAACACACCAATCAGAGAGCAGCAGTGAGCACACCTCAGTCTGTGTTTTATATTTGTATTATTTATTTCTGATTTATTTCACACAAAAAACTTTTAGTGGAAACGTTTTCCACTTTAAAAAGGCTTGCCCGCCCTGCGTTGGGGGGGGCACAGTGACTCATTTGGGGGGGCATGGCCCGCGAATGACCCCGGCCAACCACTTCAGAGACATGTTTTGTATATAACTAAGAATTATAATATATTGATGAAAAAGAGTATAATAGGGGACCTTTAAAGATAAAAATGACAGCAGCAGTTGTTCAAAAGGTATATTTGATGTTCTCTTATAAAATCACTGCCACTACAGAACAAGACAATTCAATATCTGTTATACCAAAGTGTTAATTTTTAATAAAATAAGCAGATGAAAATGTCTTTAGCCAGACAATGTGACAGTCGCAGAACCGTGGGAGGTCACCTCCCATGGTGACCTTTTTTCAGATTGCACCAGACTTTCATTCAGCACAGTTTCCTTGGAAACCACTTTGGGAGAATTCGCTTTTTGTTTCACATGCGATGAAAAGGCCCTGACATTCATACAAGTATTCTCAGTCCCTCAATCCATCCTTCCTGCTCCTTCCATTCCTCCCTCTCTATCCCACAAGGCTGTTCCCCTAGGAAAGGGCCTTGGTGCGTGAAAAGTGAAACTGGGTTAATACCAGTAAGCTCTGTTCGCAAGAGAGTACAGCTATGCATACAAAACCTCAGGAAGTGTGTGTGTGCGTATGGGGGGAGAGAGAGAGAGAGAGAGAGAGAGAGAGAGAGAGAGAGAGAGAGAGAGAGAGAGAGAGAGAGAGAGAGAGAGAGAGAGAGAGAGAGAGAGAGAGAGAGATGGAATGAGCCCAGCTACGCATACAAAGCTCCTCTAAGCTGACATCTGGGCCAGCCTGATGCTTTTCCTGGAAACAGTTCTTCTAACAGCAAAGACACAGTTCAATCCAGATTTTAACAAATATACAGTGGGAATAGGACAACAATAGGAATCAGGTGGGAAAACAAATCATAGAAACTTTGAACATTCTGCCGGCATGTCAGCAGTTTACTATATAATTGGACATAAAAATGTTCTCAGACTATGGACAATAGCCGTATCCCCTGATAAATATAATCAGCACTAACAAATGCAGCATATTGTGTTTCTCACAATTCTAATGTTGAAAATGTGGTTGTAAAGTTTTAAACAACCTCCATTGTGTTCTGTTTTATTGTTTTTTGCGTGGCTTTTCTCATCGACTATTTATATCTCTATCAACCCAATTTCCCCAGAAGGATCATACATATTTAATCTAATCAAATTTGTTCCACATAATTCCACAGTATTTTTTTACACAGTTTCAACTCCATTATAGATAATAAATCTTCAACCACATTAGAGAAAAATACAAAACAAGCCATAATTGGTAATTGCATGTCTTTTGGAAAAAGAGATCAATAAAATTAGATAATAATTGCCAATTGCACGAGGAGGACAGTTTAAAGTGAAATAAGTGACACAGAAAAGCAATAACCCCAGCACATTCCAAGGCTTAATCTCAAGTCATATGAGACATGACTCAGATCCTCACTCCTGCCCTCCTCTCCTCTCCTCCCCCCATCCTTACCCTACCCCTCATTGGCCAGGGATGAGTCAGACGAATGTTTCTTTGGTGAGAGAGAAAAGTGAGGGAAGGGAGTGTGCAGGGATGAGTAGAGAAAAAGACTGAAAGCGAGAGAGATAGGGGGCTGTTCAAAAAGCTACACGATTCAAGAAAGGGCGTTGGCAGGGGAGTAAAAAAGAACCCCGGGGCGATGTTAATGAAATAATTATTAAGCAGAGACAGTCATTAATCTTGTTTCTGTTACATCATCCATACAGTATTAATGCTAGGAGTCCCAGGCCGGGCACAACAGACACGAAACAGTGTGTAACTCCTCCGCAGCGCTAATTGGAGGTTGATGTTGACAACTTCCTCCGTAACCTTGGAGCTGTGGTGCACTGGGCGTGATGAAGGAGGGACCGTCAAATTAGAAACAGTAATAAGACTCATGAGCTGCAACTAAGGATTATTTCTACTATCAATAAATCATTTGATTATTGTTCCGTTACTGAGAAATTATTGTTATTCAAATATCCATTACCAGGAGCGAATGGGGACGTCCTCAAGTTGTTAAACCAATTGACAGACATAGAAAAGGGATAGAAGGAGCAAATCTTCCAATTAAAGGGGACCTATCATGCAAAATGCACTTTTGTACGTCTTTTATACATGAATATGTGTCCCCGGTGTTCCAGGGAACTCACCAAGTGTCAGAAAACACAACCCTCTCTATTTTCCTCCATACCCAAATCTCTAAAAAAGGGGCTGCAACGGATCTGATCAAAACTGATCCAGATTTGAACACTGTCCTGACGTCAGGACGGTGGCGCTACGGCTATTGGGCCAACTCCACCAATCAGGAGGAGACAGCCACGGCCATTGCCGTTCGAAAGCGCTGGAGACGCTGTAGTACATATGCCAGGCCTGTAGATGGTGCTGTTCTCACAGAATCAGCCCTTGCAAAAACAGAGCTAAAACAGTGCAAATTGAGCGAAATGAGGCATGGCTAAAATGCATGATGTTTGGTATTTTGAAAAAAAAAAAGTATAAATATGCCTTATATAGGTATGGTCCTACACTATATTATTCAAATATAGCATGATAGGTCCACTTTAAAGTAACTTTTTTTTTTTAAATCAAGCAACATTTCTAAACATGCTCTAAAGAGATGTTACTTGATACAATACACACAGACACACACACACAAACACACGCATCAGCCTTCACCTTCACAGCATGCTCCCCACACCTGTCAGTCCCTTCTTGCTTGTGGCAATCACGCCCCGAGTCTCTCCTGCCTCTCTCTCCCCATCTCTCTACTTCTCTTCTCCCTTCTGTAATTAGTAAGGATATATGAGGGACCTCTCCCCCCTGTGTTACAGAGCAGAACAATCCAGACTCCTTGCCTCCAGAGTAAGCCATGTGGCGCGTGGCCTACTTCCTCCACTCCCAGACTCGAGGGAATAAAACAGTCCAGAAAAAGTTAGGGACACAGTAACTGGTGCAGCCCGGAGTGAAGCAAGGGAGGAATTAATACCGTACAAGAAAAAAAAGAGACTGCATCTTACTTTTTCTGTCTCATAAAAAACATCTTTCAAAAAAGGATTCAGTTCTTACTGCATCTCAGGCTCTTGCTGTATCCCCTCTAGCTGTATTATTTTTCATCTAGTTTCACAATAGTTCCTATTTTTCATGGCTAATCCAACTCAAACATAGCAAGGATGCATGTGATCTGAGTTGGTGGAAAACACAAACACTTGCTAGAAAGCATATGAAGCACACATATCAGGGTTCATACACTTTTTCACCAAGGATTTTCAATGACCTTTACCTAATTTTCCATGACCAAAGAAATTACTCTTTCTCAGCGGTACCACTGAACATGATTTATTTTAACATGGAACAGGAAAATAAGGTATGAAACATGTTGTGCCTATCTAAAAACAAATCAAATAGTAGGCTTACTAGCTTCTACACGCTAGAGCAACTAAAATGTCTCACCAGCAAAATACCTCGTCAGTTAAATGCCATTTTACGTTTCATTACTATACGATACAGTATTTATTATCATTATAGTATTACTATTTCGGCGATTAGATAAAATATAAATTATATTTGATGCAACTTTAGTTAGATTTCCATGACTTTTCCAAAACTTTGGGAAAAATATTGCTTTCCATAACTTTTCCAGGGCCTGGAATTTGCATTTTGAATTTCCATGACTTTTCCAGGTTTTTAATGACCGTAAGAACCCTGACATATACACAGAGAGGATTTTATTCTCTGCAGCTACACTTAAACAGTGTAATACTTCTCTGAGCAGTGTGTGGTAAACATCTCCAGTCACTGGGCCCTTTAACAGGCACTACTGTACATAGCTATAAATAGGAGCGGCTGTCTCATTAGGGCCCAATCAATCGAAGATAGAATTACAGGGGAAAGGAGGGGAAAGATAAGGTCCAAATTAGTATACCAAGCTAATCATGATAAAAGGACAACGCAGGGCACATCCATGGTAAAATATCAACTATAATGTTTATGTACAATGTAATGGGCAAGCAAGGAGAAAAAAGGATGAAGTGACCAGAAAGATAGGGGAGTGCTGGAGTTTGTCACAGTCTTTTTTTCCCTCTCGATTTCCCTCTCTCTCATTTGTTCCCATCACAGCACAGGACTGTTTGAATCTGCATAAGTACAGCACAGTGCTGATTGTTTCCCTGGGAGCGCAGCAACACAGACTGACACACAAATTATGAATTTGAAAGTGAACAGTTGGTTGCAGTCTGTACTTTTTGCAGTCAAGTTGTACCAAACAGGCCTTGACTTGAATGACTTAAAGACAAATTAGACATTGTGTCTGCTCCCACAGCTCAGTGGATCTCGCTTGGAAGGTCCCATTAACAGAGACTGACCAAGTGTGTCCATTGTGACAATGCTCTCAATACATGTGCACTTGCCCTCCCTTTTAAGACCTTCAATGTGTGCAAATAAAGCACAAGGCAGTCCACGACCTTACAGTATGCAGAGTGGCTCCATCCCCTGTATTAGCCTTGGGATGACATTTTGTAATTTTATAAGAGCTGTGATAATTCTTAACACGTTTTCCCAAGTGGCCTTGTTTAATGAACACATCACTCATTGTCTCTCAGCACCAAAACAATGGCATCAGTTAGGAAATGTGTATTAATGAATAGCCACACAGGGGAAATGAGCATCGCAGTTGGAGAGGAATGATGGAATGATGAGGTGTGTATGTGTGTTTCTGTGTCATTAAGCACTTGTGTGCTTTAGTGTGTACGTATATGCATGTTTGTCTAAGGCAGATGCTTATCAGTTCAGAGTCTTGTGGGCAGAGCTCTGCAGGGAACATAAGCTACTCTGGCCATTCCAGGGTAAACCCATGTGACAGAAAATCATGAACAGCAATTACAAAACAACATGCTGCCCATGGTAATTCTGATCCTTACTCCCTTGTGTGCTTGCTCGATTTTAAGCTAAGCAATAATTACACTTGTTGCATGTTTCCCTTAGCCCCAGGTCTATCAATTGTACTTGTCGCTGTCACTGTCTGTGTCTCGTTATTCACTAGCTACCTGCTATGCCAGACTAGCTGTGTTTAGCAAGTGGCATAGCATGTAGCTAGTAAATAGCTTTTCTGATTTTATTGCACTGTGGTTAGCTTGGCTTTCCTTAGAGAAGACACTTAATTGAGGCATCATCAGTTCCTTTTGTGTACCTATTCCCTGGGCCAAAGTGAGATAATGGAGGCCAGACTGTCCCTCTCTCATGCTGGCAAACAATATAGTATTTTGCCACCCACAGATGTAGCCTGAACGTCAGAGTGAAAGGGAGAAGAATAATATCGATTCTTTCTTTAACATGCATCTAAATGTGTGGCCTTGCAGTCATGTAGCAGATCAACCTTTTAAGCATGTCCTTTTTTCTCTTGACCGAGTTCTTTTCATTCTTACACAAAGCATGACCTGGTAATATTTCATCAACTAAAGAATTGTACAGTAATATTCATTTCTGGCGCAGCATCTGTTTTCTCGGAGGACACACATATTTCTCATGGGGCCACTGCTCTCAACACCTTCCTTGTCCATTGTCTGACAGGAGGCATTTTTCACCGGTGCATCACTACTGGCCACCTCCCTTTCAGGAGCTGAAATTATTTCTCAGTCTTGCTCTGATCATAACCTTACTCTTGTCTTATACACAGAGGGGACCATTTCTCCAGGGAGATATTAACCCTCCCTGTGTCCTGGGGAGACATTTTTCAACGTGGAGCTGACATTAACTGTTGTTGCAGGGGCTGATTGTCTGAGCCGGGGGCCATACTTTATGGAGCCTCTCGTTTCCACCAACATTGATCTGCCACAGCTTTATGCTATGTGCACAGACTGGTAAAAACAGGCCTGTGTGTGTGTGTGTGTTTGGGTGTTCACATCAAAGAGGAGAAATAGTGTTCACCAAGGAGAGATGAATACAGACCCCTTAACACAAGAATACCAATGAAAATGTAGTGAGAGAACATTGGCCTTGCAGCAGATTAGACACCAGTAAAAAGTAATGTGAAGCAGTAAGTTGCTTCCATAAAAAAACAATAAAACTATCCAGCATGTGAAAATGGGACTATAATGTAAGCAATGAGACTAATCATTGATATTGGTTAAAGGAGATGCCAATCGAATGAAAAGAAAATAAGAGAGAAAACATTTGCATTGTGGGAAGAGAGGTTTTACCTGGGACACTTTGCGCACAACCTCCCCGCTGACCACCAGCCCCTGAACAAAGGACCGTGTTGCCACAAATGTGCGTGTGACCATCGTCTTCATCATGCGGGGGGTTTCTCCGAAGGGCCGTAATGTCTCTATCTGCTTGGACACACACTCCAGGTAGTCCTCACCTGCAATCAGCATACACATTTTTTAAGATCTTTATCTAAGTTGAGAACACATCGAAATATTATGCCTTTATAGAATATAAAGCAATGTCAAATCTTTAATAGATTAATAATTAGGATGATATCCTTGACAGTGTCAAAGCCACTTCATAGTTTCTGCGATTTATCGTATATACATACTTTGTATCACTACTCTTCTTTCTGAAAATGAATTGAATTAATCCATACATTTGCTCTTGTTTTTATTTAGTGTTCTACGAAAAATCTGGACGTACTTATGGAATATTGCTTGTTCGCCTGGTTGAAGAGCTTCTCCAGCAGCCGGGCCCAGAATTCATTGAGCACCTCTTCAAGGTTGACGTTGGAGCCTCGGTAGTAGTTTCTCAAATCCGTGTACAGTTCAGAGAAGATCTGGGCATTCTCGTAGTATAATAAGCCAAAGGTTTGATGGAAATTCTCCTGTAGACTAATCGCAGAGCGGTTCAGCAACTCCAGGAAGTAACCTAAAAACAAATAAGGAAAGGTAATGTTTTTAAACACATAATATCTCATATTTACGGTGTTAGCAATCACACTCTAGTGTACTATTTTGTTCTGTGGCATTGTTTCGCCTCCATATCCTCACAACATCTTTCTCACCCACTATACATCTAGTGTGTACTGATCAATATAAAGTAAGTTGCTTCTTCTATAAGAAGATGTGTTGGCCTCTCAAATCCATAAAGCTGTCTGTACTACTCCCAGATACAGTAACTACTATACCAACAAATAAATGATTTATTTTGTTATGATTTTACTTTCACTGCTTTATAACAACACTTGCCCACTTGTATAGCTGAAGAATGTGAAAGTTTACCTCAAGGGAATGTCAGAGAAGTGACAGTGCTTCAGGGTGCGATGTATACATGCTCCAAGGGAGGATTTACAGATAAAGGAGAGTCACTACACTATACTATACAATGTTGCATACAAGGTTTCATACAAACCATCTACATTCTTGAGGGGGAGGCAAGATGTAACATAGGCCTCTACATACAATGCAATCAGATACAATTCTTCCAATAATTACAGCCTCAAAAACAGAACACTTTAGAAACCCTAAGGTTAAACCGTCAAATTAAATGTAGCATTAGAATGGGCAGGTGTTGCTAAAACCAATGACTCACTGCAATGCATATCGAGTCTTCCGTGGCCAGTGGCATAAACATTTTTACATCCGTCTTGTGTGTAAACAATGTTTATAAATGAGGCCCCTGCTCTGCCAAGTGTACGGCAGCAGAAGGTTCAGCACAACAACATTGTTCCCGAACCATCCATCCATTCAAGGCCAACATTTGCTTTGCATCCCCACACACACAATGGGTTCAAACCTGATGTGAAAGTGTGTGTGTGTTTATCTGTTCCTGTGAGTATACATGTGAGTTTGTGCGGCATGAAGATGGGAAGCTGTAGTCTGCAGCTGGGTTTATTTTGTAGATGTCTTATCTTTGCCTGCCACTAGCCCACATCGGGAAGAGATGAGGAAAGGGGAGTTCTGTGGCCTCCACAGGGGACACCCCGCCCGGAGTTAGCTTATTCCTCTAACGAAGCTGTTTTAATAAACATCATAACACGCCAAACATACACAGACGCTTCAGCATAAACAAAATAAAAACACACCCTTCTCCTTACAGTTTCCCTGACGACAACATATGGAACAACCTAGCCAAAATATACAGAAGCAAAACTCCAACACTCCCACATGTGAAGGGCCTGAAGACAATCACAGCACTTAGATAACATTTTAATATGCTAAGCTCATCCTGACCCATCTGCGTGACATTATCTAAGCACTGGCCTTGGATACTGTATCTCTGTTCTGTTTTCCCATTCATTAAGGAACACCAGCCGGCCTGTGCTTTCTTTTCAGACTCTGAGCTAAAAGGTCCACTCTCTTTAGAGCTCTTCATTTGGAAACATGTATTCTGTTCTGAATGTTAACAGAAATGTTCTCCAATGATTTATTTGTAATTCCACTAGAATATAACCGCTACATACATCATTTCATACTCTTGGTTCAGCATCATTTGATGTCCAACCTACGCTTAGTGAGTGATTCCAAAGTCTTACAGTATATCTGAAAAATGTACCCAAGTCATTTTGGAAACATCAAGGGACACTCAAGCCAAATCCAACTATGTTTTGGTTTGGAAAGCTCTACACTCTCTTGTTCCGTGCCATGACCAGCTGCCCTTTCACATTTGCCTTAGTTGGAGTTACGCCCAGAATAATGTCAGTGTACATTATTTGTAAACGGGCGTTAAAGTAATGCTGTCAGTTACATTCTTTTTGATGCACACAACTTACAATGAACTCTGGGCATAAATGTGTGCTCCTAAAGGTTGCAAAAAGGTTATAGAAGACTGATATCTCTAAGAACCTAATGTATGGAATTTAAATGTTGGCTTTTTTTTTTCTTTTCTGTATTGCGATGAAAACCTGAACCTGCTCTTCCTCATTGGTGTAATAGACGATAAGCAAATAACATTTTCAGTTATCACATTAAAATGTGAATTTTAATGATACTGTACGTGGCCATTTTATTGTATTGTACAAAACAAATATAATTGGATGACAAAAAAGTTGGGGTACCAGGTTGACATTTTGTGATATATTATTTATAAATAAATAAGGGGAAAGAATAACAAGTCTATTTTTAAAAGGCAAAAAAAGGCTGATGTAAATCTTTCCAATAAGATAGAAAACTTTCTAGCAAGCTCCTCATTACAGCTCTAAACCTTAGTGAGCAGGGCGACAGACAATTTAATGAATAGTGTGACACGTACATCTTTGTGTGTGACATAAATCATTTTTTAGATCATCCTGCTTGGAGAGATAATTGCTTCTGACAGGCAGCAGCAGTATGCACCGTGTTGGTTTAGTAGCAAGACTTCCTAGCTGGATGGCACATCATCCCCCTGCTCCCTGACCTCCTGTCACTCAAACTATCTGGACACACAGCTCTGGATCAGCCTCAAAGTACCAGGAGAGCTGCGTCTGCACACAAGGACACGTGTCTGTGCATGCCAACACACAAAAACATACTTAAAGGAGTCAGCACAAAAGCACATGCACACACATGTACACAGAGCACTTTAAAGTGACAGCACAGCACATTCATGTGTACACACAGACAGACAAGGATCACAAACACACACTACACAGGGTACACATTGGCAGGCAGACAGATGGGAGCTGCTGTGACAGGTACAGCTTTGCCTTTAATCCCCATTAGAATTCATTCCTGCTGTGTACCGTCAGCCATACTATAAAAAATGGCCTTAAGTCTGGCTAAGCGAAATGGGTTTCAGTGGAAATAGTTTTCAGGTGATGGGGGTGAAGTTATTTTCTCCATTAAATAAATTATCCTCATTTCTGTTTGCAGCATTTATGTAGTTGGGGCATGTTTTTTAAGTGCCCTGGGATCAACACATGTGGAGGGCAGAACTTGCTAAATGGTATCATGCTGTCCGGTTCTCCTCTGCCCTTCAGTGTAAGTGAATAATGATCATCATTAGTATGACACCAAGCCCCCCGTGCATGTGTGTGGGCATGTGCCTTTGTGTGTGGAGATGACCTTTCTCATTCTTCATCTGTTTGCGTCTCCTACATACAAGCTCACCACCTCCCTCAGCCCCCCCCCCCTTCCTTTTACTCTCTCCCTCAATCTTCTATCATGCCATAAAGCCTAACCTCCACCTTCAATCCCCCAGTGTCTGCTCTCCAGGGAAGGAGTGATGTGAGAGGGCGACTAATTGCTTATATCCCATCATATTGGGTGTGGAGGGGACAAGACCGCACAAGCAATAGTTGAGACACTTTCTCCCAGTTTCTGTGTAGGAACACTTTATTTCTCCTTGATATATGGATTTGAAATATCAACTTAAAGTGGACCTATCATGCTATATTTGAATAATATATTGTAGGGCCATACCTATATAAAACATGTCTGTGAAGTTTTTTTTTCAAAATACCAAACAGATCATGCATGTTAGCCATGCCTCATTTCGCTCTATTTGCTCTTTTCCAGTCCTGTTTTTGCAAGGGCTGATTCTGTGAGAAGTCTTCTTCGCTGCTTTTGTGGCAGACTACAGCGCCACTTACAGGCCTGGCATATGTAGTACAGCGTCTCCAGCGCTTTAGAGCGGCAATGGCCCTGGCCGTGGCCCAACCCCCCATTCCTCTGGTAGGTGGAGAGTTGCCCGTATAATTACGTTTGTTGTTTTTACATTGTTTTACATTGCCAATTTTGTTTGTTGACTTGTGAAGCCCTCTGAGACAAATAGGATTTGTGATTTTGGGCTATATAAATAAACTTGAATTGAATTGAATTGAATATAGGCGGAGCTCCTCGTTCCTGACGTCAGAGGAATTTCAAATCTGTATCAGCTCCGTTGCAGCCCCGTTTTTAGAGATTTGGGTATGGAGGAAAAGAGGGTTGTGTTTTCTGACACTTGGTGAGTTCCCTGACACACTGGGGACACATATTCATGTATAAAAGACGTACAAAAGTGTATTTTGCATGATCGGTCCCCTTTAACCTTCAGCGAGTGATGTCAGTTAGTAATGAGGACTAATAATTGCTACTTTCCTAGCTACTGTATCTTGCCCAGTAATTTGTATCATTAAGAAATACATAAGGAGGTTACTTAATTGTAGGCCTGGGCTATAATTCAAAATTGTATGTGTAATAGGTTTATTATTTTAAACATCACTTTGATTGTTTCCTAAGTTATTTTGCACAGGATTTGCAATAATGTCTTTATTAGCACTACCGGAGAGTATCCTTTTTTGATATCATTATAATACTTAAACCCGTTAGCTGAGCTGTATTACAAATATGTCACAGTGACTGAATACTCTTAAATTAACAGCAAACGTTTCTTGGTTCATGGGACAGTAGATAAGGCGAATCTCACTCCATTCTCTCCCTCCATCACATTCTGCCTTTTTTTCTTCTCAGTCTCTAACTCAGCCACAGGCACACATTCGCACACACACACACACACACACACACACATAGAATAAGCGAAGTCAAGCATGTGCGTCTTAATGACTTTCTTCCTGCGGTGAGACAGGAGTTAATGATTTCATTTGTAATCACATTGAGCTTCACATGCAGGCCACCTTGACATGTCAGAGCCTTTTTTTAAACTCTATTCCTACATTTACATATCCAACTGTTTCCAAAGCTGGTCTGAAGTAGTTTTTCTTCTTCGACAGCCTCTTGGTCTTATCTAAATCCATGAAGTGCTTAACACCAGACAAGTAGCCTCTACCTCCACGTGCCCTCTGTCTCTGTCTCTCTGGTTTCTCTCTTACATCGGTCCTCCCCCTCCTCATTCTGTCTGCCGTGTCAAGTTGTGGTATTGACAAGAGATTCAGTGTAACACTGAGGAACCATTGATGTTCCTCCAACTGCCAATCACTCTCACTGAGGGCTTGGACTGATCCCAAGTTACTT